TATAAACTGGCATAGTTGCCCCACTTCTAGCATATGTTGGTGGAATGAGAAATAGTGGAGAAAATCAGTAATATAACTTAAAAGACTTTTTTAATCTATGCATATAAGTAATTGTGCTCTGAACTATATTTATGAACCACATGACATTAAGACATTTTGTGCTTATTCAGCTATTAATCATCCTGTGTGTGGGTGTGTATAAAACTATGATGTAAAAGCAGACTGTGTAAGTAGGGCCCATGCCAGAGAGACATTGCAGAAGATACAGACTGTATTGCAAGCCCTGGGCTAAGTCATCCAAGGAGATCTCATGGGGCTGAAAGTGTCTGTGGTAAAAACCCAATGCTGCCTTGTGGAGTCTTTGGGAAATACAAATGGGAAAGTTTCAGGATAGACCCTAGGATCCCGGCACGTTCCAGTGCTTCTTACATCAGAGAGTTACTTTTCATTTAAAAAAAATAGCTCTTAATGTGATACAGGGCTCCAGCAGAAACTGAACTCGTGCTGATGAGACACAAAGTGGCTGTCACTAGAGCTGTCCACTGTGAACTGGTATTGAACTTGAACCCATGGTATGGTATAGGAACAATGTATTGTTAGAAGTGAGTGATGCATTTGGAACTAGACTCAAGCAGATCCAGAAGGTATGAGCATATATCATGAAGAGGTGTCCCAGGGCCTCATGTCACCTGCCTTATTGGCATTGATGTTCTTTCTCAACACATACCTTATGCCTGCAAGGGGGTTTCCCCATAGAGGAGGAAGGAATTGAAACTGATATGAATTGGCCTGATACATGTTGGGTGGATTTTATGATCAATAGTGAAGGAAATCTGTCCTGTGGGCACATCTGTTTACTTGTCATTCCCTTTATTTGGACAAAAGGGTAGCTTGAGGTACACATATATATGGAGCACTGGTTAAGTTAATGGCCTCATGGACCTGGAAGAGATAAGTCTAGACAAATTAGATATGATGTGTGTAGGCAAGAGCTATGTGGATGGGCCTAGAGGAGTGACCATGGAGAGTCTTTTTGCCTATAAGACAGTAAATGCTTCTGAGGAAACTCTAATACCAGGTAGATAGCATCCCTTGTCCAGGAGATATAAGCCACTTACTTTCTCAGCTACCCCATGGTATGTGCAATAGACCCTGAACCAAATGACCTTGGGGACAGTGGTAGAAACTATTCATGGACCCAAAGATATGGCCTCCTTCTCCAAAGCAAATATAGCTATCATCACTGTGGACTCTTAAATGCCAGCGTGACAATGAGCTACTAAGTTGACCATTCATCCATGATACTACTGAACCCACACAACTGTTTGTTGGTGACTTAATTAGCAAGCAGTGCTGATGGATCCCTACTACCTCAGAGTGACAACACGTTTTCCTAAGTGGGTGACATATAGTCTGTGTTTGCCTTTCCTCTCACAGTGTCACTGCTGGCGCTGACATCTGACAGTTTATAGAATGCCTGACCCAATGGTATGGTGCCCCTATAATGTTGTTCCTACCAGGGAAACCCTGCTGCTATTTCAAGGAATGCACTACAGTGAGCTTACAATCACTGCAGGCTCTGTCACCTAACAGAAGAGTGGAATAATATTAATCATGAATAGTTAATTAAAGTACCCACATTGTGGGGAGGGGAAGCAAAAGCAAAAAAAAAAAAAAATACCCTGAGAATTGGATTACTCTAGAATGAAGTAATATGCTAAACTAACAGCTGAAACAGGGTGCTGTATCTATCACAGCTAAAATTTAAAGTTCTGGGCTAAGTGGGCCCTTTTTATAGTCAACCACAATGCCCCCTTTGTTGTTTCTGTGCTTCCTTTCTCTATAGTCTTAGACTTTGCTAATTAGAATCCTGATTCTTGTGGCAGAGGTGGATTGGGGGAGGCAAGTCTGTCAGGTGACCCAATAAGAGTCCCACTTATGTGGAAGCTGGGATTGTTTCCTCATGTGACCTGATTACTACGTGTGCTTCCAAACCATGGGGGAGCAAAGATGGAAAGAGATTATTCATGGCTATAAGAATACAGGACTGCAAAAAGACAGGACTGAGCAATGAGATAAAGGTCTGGAGCTCATAGCTGCTCCATGCCCAGAAAAAAATTAGGAAATTGCAGCAACCCAAACTCTGCAAGATCCAAGAAACAGAGAGCTCGATCCCTCGGGATTAAGATCTACAATTTCCTCACCAGGCAGTAACTCAGAGCAGCTGAGGTGTTGGTAGGGCACTTGGTAGGAGATGGATGACGAATATTCTTTAAGTCGCCAAGGATCAGCTGGAGCATGGACTATTAGAGCTTGATTTGCTAACGCTCTCTGAGTCTTTAGGGAATTGCAACTGGCCATCAGTTTGAAGTATTGTTCTTTATAATATATGAGTAATCTTATTTCATATGCTATTGGGTTATAAGAAAATGGCTCAAGTGCATCTGAGATGTACAAAGATGCAATATGTGTTTTTCCATATACTAGCTCAACCCAAATGTGTCTGGATGGTTTTGGCCAATTGATTAATGGTGAACCTCATATATTGCCACCATGAACACCTCATCTTTTCAGGTCACTAGCTGTATCTGCCTTCTGGAAGATAACTACCAGGCTCAGCTTGGCATGGTAGGATCCTCAGTAGTTCTGTCTTACCAGACCAGATCCAGGAAAAGTTCTGTCACCACTGGGATATTGCATTCCCAGCGGCTACCCAGAACAGACAGAATATACCACTGGAAGTGGGGGAAGTTAATGTCCTTTAGGATGCATCTTTACTGATGGAATGTAGAATGTGATATGGAACTGGCATACAAACATTTCTTTGTCCATTGAACATTTTCTAAGGTGCAGAGGTTCCATATGATTTCTCTTGGTTTGTTCCACATGGCCAAATAACCAGCCATGTTTGTTCATGAAGTTCTGCCCAGCTCAGTAATATGTCTGCTTTCTTCTTTTTCTGTGTGTGTGTGTGTGTGTTTTAACCTCCTTGTGGTCCTGAAATGCTTTATTTCAGACCCTGTAAGAAAAAGTGTACTGAGACACAAAGCCAAATTTTTGAACTCAGATGTTCCTGTTCACTGAGTGACAAATATACTTAAAAATAAATAGCCCTAGACTTCCTGATCGAAAAGACTACTAATTTTGGTGCAACCATTGATCTTCTCTCCTTATCTCTTTTTAATGTACTAATATAATTTTTTTTAAAAAATGGCTGCCTTCTTACTCTTCTGCATTCTGTTTTACAGCTTCTTAACTGCTCTGTATTTGAACTTTTCTGTAGGCAGAGTGATGGTATATGTTGGTTGGTTGGCTCTTTCAGGATATGCCCCTTCTCAGTACCATGCCTGTGTATTTTTCTGTATAAATCATGGCATGTTGGAGGTGTTCAGTAAATGTAAAACAACTGCTCATGGACACCTCACATTTTTATCTCAAGTCACTCCACAACAGAGTGCTAAGTTTTTCTGGTTATATTTTGCCAAACTTCTTGGGCAAGGAGGTTGTATGTATTCCACAGTGAAGTCATGGCTTCATACCCACCTCTTCCTCTTGATGATGCCTCACTTCTTATTTCTCATTAGGATTTAGACAACATAAATTACAAACCCATAGCATATGTATTAGTATTAAACAAGAAAAATTAGCTAATATTTCTATTACCACTATATATTGGAATCATAGCCTGAATCCTTACCAATTAAACTGATATATCCCACTTGCTATCTGTCTCAGTTTTGACCTCATTGCTGGGATTATTCTGCAGTGGGAGGGCTCAAGCTACTGGAATTATGTGCTTGGGCTGTCATTGGTTTGTCCTTAATTTAAACAAATCCTGCCAATTGAGGGCTAAGAAGTTGACGCCACAAAATTTCAACCTGCCTATGCCTCCCCATTGGTCACGAACTCCTGTTACTGTCCTTGTCTATTGATTAATTATTTCTTGTCCCATGCATGTTGTGTCATAAATGTTAATTTTGGGAAAAGTTGAGAATTAGATTAATGTTCACAAAGCTTATAAAGATCTCAGGTGAAAGGTGCAGCAATACCACACCGAATACCCATCAAAACACAGCCAAGGCAGGTACCACATTTGAAAGCAAGTCACATTTTTGCACACCATCCATTATTCTTGCATTTAAGAGGATGTTAAATATTCTACATCTTTCTTATTTATTAGCTTGGTATTTAGCATGTTTCATAGCCAAAATAGCAAAGAAGGTTCATTATTGCTGGTTAAATTGGCCTCATGAAAATGTTGTTGGTAAAAGGTTACAGAAATGAATAGAAGATCTAACCAAGCAGCATATTAGATCATTTATCACTATAATTTAAAAAAGGTATTCTGATGATTTAAATTAACTTGGCTAAAGGGTAGAGATTTAGATAAAAGTTAATAATTAAAACCTAAATGGCATGATTAGCTCTTCCTTTTGATTTAGAAGATACAACACATATGCATACGGATTTGATATTGGCCTCTTGGGAGAAACTAATGCCAAAAAAATTCATACCTGGAAATATAATTTCTATCTTATTCAAGCTCTGAATTTTATAGCTACACTATATCTAAACTGGTTTACCTGTGTGTCTCATGTTTCCTTCAGACTTAGGCAAATAGCCTTTTTCTTGTTCTTTGGTTTTGGATAATTGAAGCCCAGAACTTAGCTGTATTTATATTGAGGTTTGGGTATTTGCTTTTTAATGGAATGTTCTTTCCACATATTTACAATAGTAAGACTTCCATCTTTGTGAGGAGTTCATCAAGGAATTTAACCTTTTCCCCCTCTTTTGACATGTTTTTAATGTTCGCATAGCCTACCCTAAACATATTTTCCTTTGTATAAATTAATTTTTTAAAAATTCTAATAGTAACCTCATAGAACTTTCCTGATAAGGGTATTAAAGCAATTTCTTATTAGCTTGACAGCCCTGGTTAAGGGATCTGTGTCTGCAGATTTGAGATAAAAGTAAAGAATTTCTGTTTCCCCCCCACACAGAAACCAGGAGCTGAAAGAGCTTGGGGAGCTCTCCCCACACTGGGACAATCTCCGGAAAAAAGTCCTTACTCACTGTGATCAAATGGTGAATATGTACCAAGACATTCTGACAGAGCTTAGCAAGGACGCAGGTATGAAAGCAGCAACTCGACTCACTCAAACTCACTTGCATTCTACCTGTGTCAAAGGAAAACAATAGTGGGCATTATTGTTATGGAGATGAAAGCACCATAGATTTTTTAAAAATCTTATTTCTTAATATTATTAGCACTTTAACACATACTGTTCTGTCCACAGTATTACCATAAGAATATGTGGAATAATTTATTTCAAAAAATAGAATTTCTGAGAAGAAAACTTGTAAACACAGGACATGTTTTTCTTCCTCAAGTTTTTCTATTCAATATGTCTTTTCAACACACAAAACCTTTTTATTTATTTATGTACTAATAATGTTCCATTTTTTCCCTTCCTAGGGTCTTCTTTCAAATCAAGCAGCAGCAAAGGAGAGAAAACATTAGAATTTGTTCCAGTGAATCTACACCTGCAAAGAATGCATGTACACAGCCCTCACTTGAAAGGTATGATGGATCATTATTTTAAAAATGGCAAATTATGTTACAGCGTGTCCTCCTTTAAAAAGCAGGACTGCTGGTAGACCCAAATCAAAAGCGTAAGAGTTATGTACAGAGGAAGATGCAACTATTACAGCCGGTAATGACTCAATAGTCTAAAAGAGACTGCGGTAAGTTTATTGCTGTATTTCTGGGCAACGCTTTGTGAATGTAGCACCTGAGTTGAATTAGAGATAAAAGTGCACAGAATATCAGCTTCTTGAAAAATAATATTTATGGTAGAAAATAGCTAACTGTTGTGCTACTGCTTGAACTAGGAAAGGAAGAATGGAAGACAGAAAACCAAACTTGTTTTCCATGTGCTTTTAAGAAACCAAAGGGCAAAAGTAGACAAACAGGCAGTCAGTCCCTCTGACTTAATGGTGACGACCCACAGAAACACTTTGTCCCATGGGAATGGGTGTGGTGCTACAAAGATTAAATAGGTGGAAGGTGGCATTTTGATGTGCTCAGTTTGTCAAGGAGAAATATTAGGTTTTTATTTGTTATTATTAATTATACATGACAGTAAAATGTGTTTTGACATACTATACATATATACAGTAACTACCCTACTTCATCCACCCCACCTTATTGTGAGTTTGCATCTACATATCAGAAAGAAGATTTGAACATTTGGCCTTTGGTTTTTAGGGATTGGCTTATTTTACTTAGCATGATATTCTTTAGTTCCATCCATTTACCAGCAAATGCCATAATTTCATTCTTCTTTATGACTGAGTAATATCCCATTGTGTATATATACCACATTTTCTTCATTCAACTACAAAACCTAGGATAGTTTCATAGTTTAGCTGTTGTGAATTGAGATTCTATAAACATTGATGTGGCTGTGTCACTGTAGTATGCTGATTTTAAATCCTTTGAGTATAAACTGTAGAGTGGGATAACTGGGTCAAATGGTGGTTCCATTCCAAGTTTTATGAGGAATCTCCATACTGCTTTCCATAGCGGTGGCACTAATTTCTAGTTCTACCAGCAATGTGTGCATGTACCTTTTCCCCCACATCCTCATCAATATTTATTGTTAGTTGTATTCTTGATATTTGCCATTCTGAGAGGAGTGAGATAGAATCTCAGTGTAGTTTTAATTTGCATTTCTCTAACTGCTAGAGATGTTGAACATGTTTTCATATATTTGTTGACCTATTGTATTTCTTCTTCTGGGAAGAGTCTATTCAGTTTTTTTTTTTTTTTTTGCCCATTTATTGATTGGGTTATTTGGTTTTTTAGTGTTAAGGTTTTTGAGTTCTTTATATACGTTGGAGATTAATGCTCTACCTGAGGTGCAAGTAGCAAAGATTTCCTCCCATTCTATAGTCTCTCTCTTCACATTGATGATTGTTTCCTTTGCTGTGAAGAAGCTGTTTGGTTTGATTCCATCCCATTTGTTAATTCTTGATTTTACTTCTTGTGTTTTAGGAGTCCTGTTAAGGAAGTGAGTTTTTAAGCTGACATGATATAGATATGGGCCTAATTTTTCTTTCCATTAGGCTCAGGGTCTCTGGTCTCTTGCCTAAGACCCTGATCCACTTTGAGTTGAGGTTTGTGCAGGGTGAGAGAGAGGGATTTAATTTCATTTTGCTATATATGGATTTCCCAGTTTTCCCAACACCATTTGTTGAAGAGGCTGTCTTTTATCCATTGTATATTTTTGGCACCTATGTCTAGGATGAGATGACTGTATTTATGTGGGTTTGTCTCTGTGTCTTCATAATTATACCTGAGTATGATCCAGAGTGACTGATATGGTATCATATTTGTTACCATTCTACGTATTCTCTTGCTATTCCTTAATGACAATGATTTAAAAATTATTCTCATACCACCCTTGAACGTATTGCTCTATCAACATTCTGTGTATTTATTTCTAGGATGACTGACTGTTCTGGTTTTCCAGCAAATGCCCCAGAGTATTATGTCTTGTGTCTTAGCATCACTGTTAATGGTGCCTCCCCGGCCTTACCCTTACCTTCTCAAAAGTTTCTCTTTTTTGAATAATAAATGCCATGACCTGCACAGCTGAATCACAAAGACCAGCAAGGGGCCATGGGGGATTAAGAAAGACACACCAAGGTTCATTAGAGATATTGGTCTGTAGTTTTCTTTCTTTGAAGTGTCTTTGTCTGGTTTAGGTATCAGGGTGATGTTGGCCTCATAGAATGAATTTGGAAGTTCTCCCTCCTTTTCTATTTCCTGAAGTAGCTTGAAAAGTATTAGTATTAGTTCTTCTTTAAAGGTTTTGTAAAATTCTGCTGTATACCCATCGGGACCTGGGCTTTTCTTAGTTGGTAGTCTTTTGATGGTTTCTTCTATCTCCTCAATTGATATTGGTCTGTTTAGGTTTTCTATATCCTCCTGACTCAATCTGGGCAGATCATATGACTTAAGAAATTTATCTATGCCTTCACTATCTTCTAATTTATTGGAGTATAAGGATTCAAAATAGTTTTTGATTATCTTCTGTATTTCTGAAGTGTCTGTTGTGATATTGCCTTTTTCATCCCGTATGCTAGTAATTTGAGTTCTCTCTCTTCTTCTCTTCACTAGCATCGCTAAGGGTCTGTCGATTTTGTTTATTTTTTCAAAGAACCAACTTTTAGTTTTGTCAGTTTTTTCAATTGTTTCTTTTGTTTCGATTTCATTAATTTCAGCTCTGATTTTAATTATTTCTTGCCTTCTACTTCTTTTGCTGTTGTTTTGCTCTTCTTTTTCAAGGATTTTGAGATGAAGTATGAGATCATTTATTTGTTGGTTTTTTCTTTTTTTAAGGAATGAACTCCAAGCAATGAATTTTCCTCTTAGAACTGCTTTTAATGTGTCCCATAGATTCCGATATGTTGTGTCTGTGTTTTCATTTATCTCTAAGAATTTTTTAATTTCCTCCTTGATGTCTTCTATAACCCATTGATCATTCAGTAACCTATTGTTCATTCTCCAATTGATGTATGCTTTTTCCTTCCTTCTTTTATCGTTGATTTTCAGTTTCATTCCATTATGATCAGATAAGATGCATGGTAATATCTCTACTCCTTTATATTGTCTAAGAGTTGCCCTGTGACATAATATATGATCTATTTTTGAGAAGGATCCATGTGCTGCTGAGAAAAAAGTGTAACTGCTTGATGTTGGGTGGTATACTCTATATATGTCAATTAGGTCTAGGTTATTAATAGTGTTATTGAGTTCTATAGTTTCCTTATTCAACTTTTGTTTGGAAGATCTGTCCAGTGGCGAGAGAGGTGTGTTGAAGTCTCCCATGATTATGGTGTGGTGGTCTATTAGACTCTTGAACTTGAGAAGAGTTTGTTTGACGAACATAGCTGCACCATTGTTTGGGGCATAAATATTTATGATTGTTATGTCTTGTTGGTGTATGGTTCCCTTAAGCAGTATGTAGTGTCCCTCTTTATCTCTTTTGATTAACTTTGGCTTGAAATCTATTTTATTTGATATGAGTAAAATTCTGGCGAATCGGATACAAAAACATATAAAAAAAATTGTACACCATGATCAAGTAGGATTCATCCCTGGGATGCAAGGCTGGTTCAATATACGGAAATCAATAAATGTTATTCACCACATCAATAGACTTAAAAATAAGAACCATATGATCATCTCGATAGATGCGGAAAAAGCATTTGACAAAGTACAGCATCCCTTTATGTTCAAAACTCTAGAAAAACTAGGGATAACAGGAACATACCTCAATATTGTAAAAGCAATCTATGCTAAGCCTCAGGCTAGCATTATTCTGAATGGAGAAAAACTGAAGGCATTCCCTCTAAAATCTGGAACAAGACAGGGATGCCCTCTCTCTCCACTTCTCTTCAACATAGTTCTCGAAACACTGGCCAGAGCAATTAGACAGACGAAAGAAATTAAAGGCATAAAAATAGGAAAAGAAGAAATTAAATTATCACTATTTGCAGATGATATGATTCTATATCTAGCAGACCCAAAAGGCTCTACAAAGAAACTATTAGAGCTAATAAATGAATTCAGCAAAGTGGCAGGATTTAAAATCAACACGCATAAATCAAAGGCATTCCTGTATATCAGCGACAAATCCTCTGAAATGGAAATGAGGACAACCACTCCATTCAAAATATCTTCAAAAAAAATAAAATACTTGGGAATCAACCTAACAAAAGAGGTGAAAGACTTATACAATGAAAACTACAGAACCCTAAAGAGAGAAATAGAAGAAGATCTTAGAAGATGGAAAAATATACCCTGTTCATGGATAGGCAGAACTAACATCATCAAAATGGCGATATTACCAAAAGTTCTCTATAGGTTTAATGCAATGCCAATCAAAATCCCAATGGCATTTCTTGTAGAAATAGAGAAAGCAATCATGAAATTCATATGGAAAAATAAAAGACCCAGAATAGCAAAAACAATGCTAAGCAAGAAGTGTGAATCAGGCGGTATAGCGATACCAGACTTCAAACTATACTACAGAGCAATAGTAACAAAAACAGCATGGTACTGGTACCAAAACAGGCGTGTGGACCAATGGTACAGAATAGAGGACACAGAAACCAATCCACAAAACTACAACTATCTTATATTTGATAAAGGGGCTAAAAGCATGCAATGGAGGAAGGATAGCATCTTCAACAAATGGTGCTGGGAAAACTGGAAATCCATATGCAACAAAATGAAACTGAATCCCTTTCTCTCGCCATGCACAAAAGTGAATTCAAAATGGATCAAGGAACTTGATATCAAATCAGAGACGCGCCGTCTGATAGAAGAAAAAGTTGGCTACGATCTACAGTCGGTGGGGTCGGGCTCCAAATTCCTCAATAGGACACCCATAGCACAAAAGTTAATAACTAGAATCAACAAATGGGACTTACTCAAACTAAGAAGTTTTTTCTCAGCAAAAGAAACAATAAGAGAGGTAAATAGGGAGCCTACATCCTGGGAACAAATCT